TCGAAATACCGCTTTCCTTTTATTACCAACGATCCACCGTTCCTCGAGGCTCTGTGGAGTAGTAATAATGCCGAGAGTAATGCCAAGTTTCGATGCATGGCTTCGTTTGTTTTCTTTCCTCTTCCCGTGACGGAAACGAGAAACAAAGCGTAAAGCTGAATTTGCGATTTGTCCCTTAGGAACAGAACGAGTCCATGGGATACGGACCGTCGGGAAATATACAGATCTCGTTAGCGAATGGCAACATCATGAAGATCCCGATGGCGAGCATCAATATCAGCGAGGAGGTGAACAAAACCGGGATTTGGCAGCAGGTGAACGAAGGGAACGAGAAAACGAAACAAGTGAAACTGATCAAGTACGTGTAGTCGATCACGATCAGAATTGGACGAAACGTAATCTGATTGATCAGTCTGATATTTAAACAATTGGTAATCGTTGATTAATGAAGAGACTAAGTCATCAAAGATCATGATTAACTTAAGGATCATGAAATAATTACATTTTTGATTGTACTCCATTCGGTACAAGCTAGTTACTTTTTTACTATATCGGAACTATTACATACTGAACGATTTGCAAGTTTGCACTATATGAAAAGATTTGTTCAAATAAAACATTGTAGATTTATGACGCAACCATTGGAAAGGTACTTGTAAAACATGTTTCGTCACATTTTTAATCAAGACTACAAAAGAGATATACATTTTTCCTAATAATATATATCGTATAATTAATTGTACAAATATACATTTATTAGTCGTAATACACTATAAATTAATCATTGAATGATTTAAAAAATTGCTGATTAACGATTAAAAATTACGAAAATTATTCATGTATCATGCTTATTGATGTATCTTAACGATTCATTGATTAATGATTACGAGTACATTCGATAATTTCGATTACAAAAGAAATCAATTAATTGCTCAATCCTGATTACGACGTGAAAAAGACATGAAAAAAAACAAACGTTGTTAAATTGTCTTTGAAATCTAGCGCGGGAAAGCAAAAGAAGCATTCGAAGAAAGAGAACTCGTTGATGGCCGACGAGACTACGAGGCTGACTACAATGACCGAGGAGGACGAAGACGACAGTGGGATCTCTATCAAGGTGACAAACGTAAATGACTCTAAATTCTAACCACCAACCACGATCACCAAATTGATAAATCACATGGCAAGTCACACAGCAAGAGCACCAATACACCGGCATGCAACATACCCTCTGTACGCTACTGTGAGTAAGAGTATAAAAGGGGGCTGCACGGAACCCTCGGAGCCGTCTTAGATAGATCTCTCCTTAGGAACGACCGCGGCTCTGTTAGAGAAGAAGACCCACTCTCTCACATTTATTCTCGATTGTATCCGACGCATATTTAAGTTGCAGCATGCAGTATACTACGCCAATAAGTATTCAAATACAAGCAACAGAAAAGATTTCAGTGGATTTGATCTTTCTATATTGTGTATATATATATATATATATATATAAATATAAATATCACGATAAGAGTCGGACAAACTTTTAATTCTTGCATGTTTTCGACCTTATCGTTTTCACACTTTATATAATTTACAAGTCTGTTATTTGCATGTATTTTCGAGCGCAATTTCCCGAATGAGGAAAATCGTGAGACGACATTAACCTTTGCGAGATAACGCGATCTTACAACAGATAACGGCAAATTGTTAAATTCAAACGAATATTTACCATCGCAAGCCTTTCGATGGTTTTTCTGCGCACGTAGATGCTTGTAACGATCGGCTTCTCGTTCGCGTGTTTCGCGAAATTATGCGAGATGTTTGGTTTCATCGTTTCAGGTAGACTTGATACGCTCGAAGGAAAGCATCAGCCCGTTAACGATTAACGGCACTACCTCGGCCGAGACTTCTGTCTAACGAAAGCAACGCTACATTGGGAACGATCGCTCGGTCGTTTAACGATTACTGAAGATTCCGTTTTCTCTTTGGTTCCAGCTAAACGATACACAAAAGCACGTCTCGATTTCCATCGTACGCGTTATGATAAAAAAAAAGTAATTGTCATATGAACAATATTTTGTAGGAAATAAAATCGCATACGAGGCTGTCTCGTCTAATCGCGTTGTTACATGGACGAAAGCAATTAACGAGTGCCCACTAACGGATCTAGCTGACATGAACGTTTTCTTCGTAAGGAAGAAAGAGAGAAAAAAACGTACACGCACACCGTTGAAATTTAAAAGTAAAGCGTTCTAAGTTTAAGAGACCGATCCGATTGATAATGTCGACGCGTCAATTATCAATGCGGGATCTCGAATCTATTCTTATCAGTGTGCAGTTACGTATACTTGTAATCTAGCGATTGTATGGATTAAGTAGTTTACGCCCATAGTGAGTACGCCAAGAAAACCCCTTCGATATATCGACGTTTCCTTCGAGGGATGTCTCGCAGAGGAGCTTGGCCGATAACGCGTTCACGATCATAGAGAAACCGTCGAAAAGGACGGTATTACTCCCCTTCTCCAAAATACGAGATTCATTTTCCACCAACGTTCGTGCAACGCTAGCAACAACTTCCTCCGGCTCTATTGGATTTTATTAAAATTGTTCAAATTTCCAAGTACGTCGAATACCGGCCCACAGCGACAATATATTATACGATAAATATACAGCGCATTTTGTACGCCGAGAAATAGGAAAATTTTTATCGCGTGAAAAGTGGAAATTCACACGCGAGCAGAGATTAGAGAAAAGTTTTTCATGTTTTCTATCGAAATTTTAGCACGACTGGATTTTTCCATGCGTAACGCCGTCCCTTGAAGGATGTCCTTTCCGTTCGAAAAAGGGAAGCGAACAATGAGATTTTTATCGGTACTGCAGTCTTTCAGATAGCGAGTGCAACGATCTCCCGATTCTTGAGAATTTTAAGCGAACGTGGCGCGGATCGTAGTACACGAGTAAGCTGTTATTTTTTTTTTTTTTTTTT